CGCGGGGCCCGGGCCCGGGGGGCTACGGTGGTGGCGGGGCCGCCGAGTGACAGGTGCCGCCGCCCCCTCCCCGCCGCGGGTATCGCGCTCCCTCGCCGGGAGCCGGGCGCTCGGAAATTTCTGGAGCCACGACCTGACTCGCTGTTTTCTCCCTTTCAGGTTTGGAAGCCGCTTCTCTGCCCGATTTAGGTCTCGCCCAGTCCTATTTCTTTCTCAGTATACTTTGCGCGAATAAGTTTTGGAGCATCGGTTGACAGCCTATGGGTGAAATTTGGCTTTCATTCATGAATGAGGTATCGTGGATTACTTTTTGAAGAAAGTGCTCCTCCTCCCCGCTAGCTGTTGAAAAGTAAATGAGAAGGGTTTTGAATTTTCTTTCTTGCCGTTGTTCTTTGGAACAGCAGTCTTTCAGAATTTTTGTCAGATCTCTAGCATTTAGGGGGCTTAGTAGATACGGAACAGTCATGACAAAAATGGCTTATTAAATTGTCTTTTCTCTCCAGCTTCTTTGAGATTTTTCATTCTTACCCTAGATTTTACGGTGGAGTGGGTGCTACGGCTTTCACGGGAGGCACTAATGAAAGCTCACCTTTCTTTTACTGAAAAGCCAGTGAAATTTTTTTTTACATCGTTCAGTATTATCTATTTCTTTATGTAGTAACTGCTTGTGATTGTAACCTTAATCACCAGCTTAATAAATTTGACTTGCAGCTATGAGAGTATAAGAGAAACTTCATGGGAAATTGAAAAATTAAAAATAATCTATGGGAATTTAGATTTTGTTTCTCAGCAGGTATACTCTACTTGGTATTAGTCAAATCCTCATTAACGGGGGATATTCTTAATTGTCATAAATGGTTACAACAAATTTATGTGTAAGATACCAATCTAGTGGCTTCACTCTGTGGACTAAGAGCAAGAACCTGGAAGTTGACCAAAAGAACATTGGGGCAAATGAAAATACACGTGTTTTTTGGTTTTTTTTTAATGTTATGTTGATCACCATACATCACATCGTTAGTTTTTGGTGTAGTGTTCCGTGATTCATTGTTTGTGCATAACACCCAGTGCTCCATGCAGAACGTGCCCTCTTTAATACCCGTCACCAGGCTAACCCATCTCCCCACCCCGGTCCCCTCTAGAACGCTCAGTTTGTTTTTCAGAGTCCGTCGTCTCTCGTGGTTTGTCTCCTGGCTT